GTCTCCCACTTGGATAAGTCTAACAACTATTATGCGTATGACTTCAAAACAGATTAGCAATCGTAGCTTTCAAAAGCTGTTGTCAACTCTGATCTTATCATAAGCGTGTCCTTTAGATAAGGGATCATATATTCCTCCATTCTAGATATCGTATGAACTGAGACGTGGATTAAAATCATACTCTCTGTTCATGTGTTGTTTCCCGATTTCCAATTTATGACGACTAACAACAGACTACAATTGAACACATCAACTTAGTCCCGGCTTGGCCAAGCACTTAGGTGTCATCACTAAATCATCGTGGGTCCCACAGATATCGTTTTTATTCCATTTTGGGTAAAAGAAACAAATAAAATTCGACTCAATGCTCGCTTGTACTCACTTATTGAATCACACACAACAATATATTTTATAACACCAAGTTACTAGCGCGTTTACATATTATCAATGTGTAACCGACTCGCAAGATACAACTCACACATCTCGGTTTCAAGAATATAAGATATTATCGTCTCACCAGTCACTCGTGATAGAATCCATGAAGCGATCCAAGTGAGCGTGGGTTTAATCTAATGCTCAAATCATATTGATAAGCACTCATGAACGTTGCAGCAAACATTTGATATGTCTAATACACTTTAGGCAATCTACAAACCAATTCATGAAAATCTTCTTTCATACCTACTCCCAAAGTATAAGCGACTGTGGAACGTTCGAATAATCTTATTATTCAGGAAGTCAAAACATGCAAAGTTAAACACAAGAATAATCGAACCCAATATGGCCCCAAACTTTTAAGTATAAATAAAACTCCTTTTATTTAATCACCATATTGATTACACATTATTCATTGTATAATGTTTCGGGTAATTAACTTTTTACTTGAATTATAACAACAATTATCCCAAGCTCTTAGCATGCACACTATGTTTACCTATGGTCCTTACTTTGTGAAATAGTATAATTTAATAACATTTTTAATCACACTCATTTCACAATTCTCAATCCTTACCACAAGTGTG